AAGATAAGTTACCAAACACTTCTTCTTGTTTCTGTGCTTGCATAAGTGTGTGTGTGTGCGAGTTTTAAGATAAGAGATACGTCGTAGGTTAAGGTGAAAATTCCATAGTATCTGGGAAGCATGGTTACTACTTATGAACAGTGCGTTAGCAGGGGCTCTCCAGCTTGGAACGTGAGAATATGCCACTTTCAGCATGCCAGATCTAAGTGCCTCCCTGAGATAAGAAGGGAAAAATTGGATGTGAAATGACGCATAATATTGGCGGCACGTGTGAAGGAAATTGTGGAATGCTTGAATAATATTTGGTGCTTTTATGCATTACCTGCTCCCAGCGGTCGACGCCTCGAAAATGTTGCTGAAGTCAGCGGAAATAGGGAGACCTTTTTGTTCGCCTTATTTTAACTGCAGTGTGACTGTAAAACTGATGTGCGTCCTCGTCAGTAGGAGCGGAAAAATAAAGCAGTCCGTGTAGTCCCTAACCAGAAGCTATGGTGATGCGAGATGTGCGAATAGTGTAAATGGGGATGTCTACCTGAGGGGTTTCGTTCAAGGACATTAATGACGGAGGTGATGACTTCATGATTTTAAGCGCCAATTGAGGAAAAACACGTGAAACAAACGCAGCCTCTAGCCTACAGCCTCCGAATTACACACATCTGTGACTGAATTCGACGAATCCAGTGCTTGGAGCACTCCGCTTAGGCGATCAACTTCGTTGATGACGGTGAAATACATATGACAGACGCTTGGTTCTGCCCTTATTTAGCTTGGCCTTCACATAAATAATATCATTCCCACCATTTGTGGTGGTCTAAGGCTGTTTCTACGACTCCTAACTCACTGCTAAGTTGGAGACCAAGGAATGGTCTGGTGCGTTTTGCTGACATATGTTGCCCTTAATGAACGGCAGAGATCTGCATCGTATCGCTTTTCTTGCTTTTAGTGAGGGTTGAGGTCTTGCTAAGGCTGAGAGCCCGACACCAGTTAATCTCTTATTACTATCAGTTCCATCCTTTTGGATGACCGATTGGTTTAGAAATCACTTGCGACCCCCTCGTCCTCCCGAATGAGTGTACCATTTGGGCAAAGGAATGCAAAATGTTAGAGTGCGTATTCTAGCACACAGTTTTGGTGAAAAGCAGATAAAGAACCATCTCCTTCTTCACAATGATGAAAATTATGATATGGCAACCAATCCTGGCGAGTAGAATCGCATAGTGGTACATGGCACTCGTTGGAGCCAGTTCCCACTCGTAAATATGAGAATAGGTGATTTTTTACATCCCTTGCTCCGCTTATGTGAGGGAAAGGCGTGTGACTTTGAATGTGTGTTACAGTGAGTGCGGTACTTTTT